TTTTTCCTCCCAATGAGCCACTTTACTGAACATCATTGGTTAATTTGCATACTTAGAAAGAGATCAGTTCATAGGGAAGAGGAAATAAACCTATGATTGTTGCAGTGAGAGTAGAAAAGGTGACAGATAAGATTCTGTGAAAGAAGAATAGTCAGGACATGGTAAAAAGAAAAAATGTGGTCACTTGAGGAGAGGAGAGGAGTTTATAATAACTGAATTTTTGAACTAAGGAAAATAAGATTGTGTTATCGTTAGCAGGAATAGAGAAGGATTAAGGAAAGGAGTTGATTCCTGGATAACAAATTCATCTTGAGTTTCAGATAATATCAGGACATCAAAGACATGTCCAGAAGACAGGTGTTGACATTATACTCATAAAGGTAAGTGATGAAGATGAGAAAGTAAAATCAAATCTTTAAGAGAAAATATATTAAAAAAACTAATGGTTGAAGAAAAAATTGTGAGAGTTCATATTAGAAGGTTGGAGGAGCCAGGTGTCAGACAGGCTTAAGGAGCACTCTGATAAAGATGTATCGCAGAGGCTGGTCCGATGGTAGTGGGTTATCAGAACTTATTAACATTAGTGTCACTAAAGTTGGTATTCAACCCCCCGCTGCTAAATTTGACTGGCTTTAAAAAAAAAAAAAAAGATGTATCGCAGAGATCAAGAAATAATTTCAAAGAAGGGGATTATCATAATTGATTTATGTTCCAGGGAGATCAAAGAAAATGAGAACTGAGAAAGTCTTTGAATTCAGAGATTCAAATAACTCTTAGTGACCTTCTAGAATATATTAGTGAAAATTAGAATATCAGTGCCTTTAAGAAAACTGAAAGACAAGAAAATAGAGTAGTTATAATCCCTCATTAGAGATGTGTGGCCATAAAGAGAATGAGGAAAACAGAAAGGTACACAGACATGACAGAAGAATCAAGCAGCAGTTTTCTTTAAAGTTGAGGAGACTTGTACATGTTCAAGATAAAGGAAAAGGAGCCAAAGTGATTGAAAATACTAGAGAAGGGAAAAGCAGATAATTTAAGAAGCAATAGTCTAGGAAGAATGGCACAAAATGGCCTCAGGAGAGCAGGGGAGAGGTATTAGCCCTAGAACTAAGAAGAATTAGATTTTTCTCAAAGCAGATGAAAGGAAAGGTAATATTAATAAAAGGACAATGTTGAATTAAAAAAAAGATAAGATGCAGAAACTTATATCTGATGCACTCATTTTTCTCAGTAAAGTAGGAAGTGAAGTTACTGGTGAAGAACAGAGAGGTTGGAATGAGACTGAAAGTTTGAGGAAAGTAGAAAATATTTGGAACAGCTATTATGGGAAGTATATCAGCAAACAATTAATGGAACTATTGAACACTATATTCAGTCCAGATCAAGCTAGACAATGTTCATCTTTAGAAGGCCAAATTAATAGATCCAGGAAGCAAAACAAAGAATTAACAGAAACCGCAAAAGATCTAGGGTTAGGCCCTGGTGAATGGAAGGGAGGCAGAAGAGGGAAGTGAAGAATTAAGGAGACAAAGGAATTTAGATATTTCTCCAAAGAAGATATACAAATGACCAGCAAGTACATGAAAGGATGCTCAACATTAGTCACCAGGGAAATATAGATCAAAATCACAATGAGATACCACTTTACACGAACCAGATGGCCACAAGCAAAAAGA